AAGGTTCTTTCTACAGAGACTAAATAAACCTAGATTCAGGTTTATTCCTCCAATCAAATTGAACTAAGTGTGATATCACAGTCAGTGGCGGAGCCAAAGGGGTGGCCGGGTGGCACTTGCCACCCCCAACAGAGCCCTTGCCCCCCTAGTGCCACCCCACTGGAAATGGTCATTTTAAAATATAATACTGATGAGATCGGCAAAGATTTGCCAGGAAAACTGTAATTTCCGACTGTCCCTGAAGGCAGCCCGATGCCTGACGCTGTTCATTGGTTAAACTGACATGTTGGTTCCTGCTTGATCCAAAACACATCAACGGCTTTAGAGTTACACCGTCAGGAGTTCTGCAGGTATTTCCAACATTTTACCGCTCAGCAGTAACCGCTGTTACCTTCCTAATGAGAGGCGGCTCTTGTCATACATTTCTAAAAAAAAAAAATGGTTGTGTACCGCTGCATAGTGCCTCGTTTATTATATTAGCCATGCTAGTGCTGGTAGATCGTGTTTTAGACAGATTATTTTAACATATGTTTTAGTGACATGCTGCCCTCTAATGTTTTATTTCTCCCAGCTCTTGCTTGAAATGTGTGGTAAGAATATGTGAAAAACCATTAAGTTTTATAATGACTGAAATGTAAGTAGGCTATGTCATATGAAAGTGTAACACTGTAATGTTAGACAAATCTGTGTTACCAGAAACTGAGAGGTCGTGGGTGGAGAAAAAGCAGGACAATGAGCGGGAATAGCTTAGCGGTCCAGACTTTATTCAACCATCTTGCCAGAACACAAAATAAAAACCAAAAAACCCGAGAACCTCCAGAGGAGGGGCCAGCCAGAAAACAACATAGTAACTCCTCTTAAAGGCGCAGTACAACTCCTTAACATCTTTAGTAAACAACTGATCTTCTATAGAACCCTATTAAATGAAAAGTAAAAATAAATCATCTTACAAAAGCTTTGAATTATAACCTAACTAGTTATATTAATTAATTTTGAACGAAAGGAAACAAATATTTTTTCCTTTCGTTCCATGGAACGGTCCGTTTGTATATGGACCCTCTGATAAAGCCTTGCTCACCCTTTGGCCCCCCTTGAAAAAAAGTCTAGCTCCGCCACTGATCACAGAGTGTCCTCCCTGTCCCTGCAGTGCATTGTGGGACCAGTAGTTGTATTAACAATTTATTATCAGAACAAGTCACTGAACCAGAACATCAAGAGATCAAACAACTAAGGCTTCTTTGACATCAGCACTCCCATTGGTTCCCAGCAATAAGCCACGCCCCTTTGATGTTTTTATCTCATCAGGAACGGAAAGGTCTGGTTTGAGTCAGGTTTTATATTTTTGAGTTTCCTACTTTGTTCTGTAAATGTTTGCTTGTTGCCCCGCCCCCACGGTGACCTCACCCGCCTCTTATGGCTCCACCCTTGCAGGAGTTCGTGGAGAGCAGTCGGCGACTGGAGCGCGCGGGCGGACGTGGGCGGAGCCGGGTGAAAGAGGCGGGATCGGAGGGGGCGGAGATGAAGCCCATGGTGAGTGATCGCGGTGCCGGAGGGAGCGTGGCCAAGCGGAACTGCTCGTCCGCGTTGGGGGCGGGGCCACACTGGGGCGAGGGCGGGGAGTGGGAGGAGCTTCAGGAGTTCCAGGTGTATTGCCTGCTGGTGGGGGTGCTGGTGGACTGGGTGCTGGCAGAGCAGAGAGACCTGGTCCTCTGCCTCAGCGAAGACGTCGTCCTCTTCCTCTGCGTCTGCCTGCCCACCTCCACCCTCTTCCTGGTCGTCAGCCTGCTGCATGCGCCAAGCCCGCCCCCTCGCCGAGTCCGCCTCCAAGTCAGCCGCCATCACTACCGCGTGCTAACAACAGACTAACTCTGGATGAACACTAGTGCATGCTTCATCACCTCCATCATCATCATCATCACTCTGCTGCTTGAACTATTTATGTTTCCTTCTTTTTTATTTTTGTACTTTTTTATGGAGAATATTTTTATAAAAATCTTCCAGCAGCTCTGTGTTTGAGTCTCTGTTCCGCCTCAATTTGGTTGCCATGTTGCTTTCAACCCGACCAGGACTCAGCAGGCAGAAACTCTGAGGTCACTTCCTGTTGCTGGGAGCTGCTGACCTCCTTCTCCACAGCAGATGAGACTGAATCCAGATCACTGAGAACTGAAATCTGATCCGAACCAGAACCACCTTTAGATTGACTTTAACATAAAATTATTGGAAACTTGTTGCCTGCTGGGTCCTCCAGGAATTGACACATAACTTGCTGAGGGTTAACGAGCTGGGTTAACGAGCTGAGGGTTAACGAGCTGAGGGTTAACGAGCTGAGGGTTAACGAGCTGAGGGTAACGAGCTGAGGGTTAACGAGCTGGTTAACCTCAATAACGAAATTCTTGACAAGATGGTTAATGATTAATTAACATGTAGCTTAACCAGTTGCTTAACGAGCTCCTTAAGCTGCTAGCCGGCTGATTAGCTCGTTCAGCTGCAGACAGGAAGTTAACCATGTCCACGTCTCCTGTTTCAGGCTCCAGGGACGAGTTCGGCTTGACCAAACTGGGACTTGTTGCAGAGACATTCCAGAAGTTTATTTTTAGTGTAACATGTTTACTATGGTTTCACTCCAGGGAAAACGACGATATTTTAATACGGAGCAACGTAACAACGTAACCAAGCACTTTATCTGGAAGCGGCTGATGCATTTTTTTGTAGTGATGTCCGTTTTTATAAAACTCAGATCCTAACGCCGTCCGGACTCTTCGCTAACCTCTCTGCTCTGTGGGCGGAGCCGGCCCACATGGAAGGGGCGGGGCCTGCGGACAGGTGGCCCAGCAGCCATTATGCCCTCAGAGAGTGGAGTCGGAGCTGCTGCGGGCTGTCGCCATGGAAATCACGTCCAGCAGCGGGGTGAGGTCATGTGACCGCGAGGACGCCGTCGCGTCGCCGTGGTGGCGGAGCTTCCTGCAGCTGCGGCGGCAGCAATAACACCGGAACCACCAGTCTTCCTGCTTCTCGTCATCCGCTGCCTGACCCGGTTTCGGTTCTGAACCCGCCCAGTGTGACCCGCCCAGTGCGACCCGGTTCTGGTTCCATTAGACGTTGTCAGACTGTTTGTAGCGTCGGTTTGTAACGGCCTGAATCTCTTTCAGAAATATGTTGACCTTCGACCCGAGTCCTAGTGCCCAGCTGGCTCAGCCTCTTACTGGGAGCAAACCAGTCCACCAGACAGAACTCAGAGCGGTTCTGGCACCGGCTCTTTGGATCTTTACTCCATCAGAGGTGCTCCGAGTCGGTCCGGTTCCCTCTGGAGGCGGAGCCTGGTCAAGCCCCGCGTCTGAACCCGTTTCCCATCATGCACCTCACCGTGGCGCCTGCAGGGGAGCCCCTGAGCCGCTAGTTGCACTAAAGATGGAGTTCCTGCAGTGCCGGACGACGGAGTTCGGATTTCAGATTCACCTGAACGCATCATGACCGCTGTTGCTGGGCAGATTAGCTGAACAGTTTCACTCCAACACCAACAGGACCGGCTCGGTACCAGCGGTACGGAGCCGGTTTCTTCATGCAGAGGCCAGTATCATTTCAAAATAAAACAGGAAGTCATCATGACAGGGTTTCTACACAATAAAGTCAGAAAATGTTTCAGTTTCTACACTTTTATCTAAAATATCAAAAAATAAATATTTAATATTTAGGTTTTAGTGACTTTGGTTTTTACTGCTGTTCCAATCTGGACCAGAGGTTCTGACCCAGGTCGGCTCTTAATAAAACCAACATTTTGAAACGGAAACCCAGTTATGACCAGAACATCAGGGTTCAGGAAGGATCCGGTTCTGATCCAAAAACCAGAAAAAGGCCACAAAACATTTCTGTTGGAGGAAAACTCTTCAGCCTCCATCCGACCAATCACAGCACAGGCTCCGCCCACTGAGGATGAGCGGGGCTCGGAGAGGTTCCGGTTCTGGAACTGGAGTCAAACATCAGAACGAACTTCTCTGCCTGGAAACCATCCGAACCCAACCGGACCGACCAAGTCCAGGGTGTGCTGATGGAGTTCCGGTCCGGAGTTCCGGTCCGGAACGCCTCGATGCCATTTTTGTCAGACTGTTTGTTGCCTGTTGCCCCACAACCAGGTTGACTTTGTAAAGTTGCTGCAAAGAATGAACAGCAATGATTTGGCGTCGGTTTCTCCGCGTCATTCAGTTTCTTGGTTGATTTTTCCATGTTTTTCACCAAATATGGATTCATTTTCATCTGAATTTTTTCCGTTGATCCAGAACCAGGAAAGAATCAATGATGAAAAAAAACGTCTTTGGCGACGAAAACCCAGCTTTTATTTTGATATGTCACTTCCTCTTAACAGCAAGCCAATTTGCATATTAACTAAAATTTCTCTATGAGCAAAATAGAAATAAAATGATAAACTGATGACAGAAAGTAAGTAACCATAGAAAATAATCAGCTTCAGGTAAAATGGATTTTCTGACCTTTGAACCTGGTGATGCTCCATCATCAGAAACATTCCTGGATTCTTTCATGGATGTTTGAGAAATATGTTAATCTCCATGGCAACCATTCAGCTGCAAAAGCACCTGGTTGGACGTAGCTCCGCCTTCGAGGCGCAGCTCCTCCTCTGACATGCTCTACATTTAGCTAGCTAAGTAGTTAGCTTGCTAAACCAAATATTAAGCTTCAGCTACAAAAATATTAAATTTGAAAGTTAAATATTTAGCTTGAAACGTTCATATTACCAAATATTTAATACGAATCTGATATTTATAAAAACAGGAACATTCAAAAAATATGACAGAAAAATGAAGCACAAACAAGACAAAGCAAATTATTGCTGTTAATTTTCTTACTGTAACTTTGCAAATGGAACCTGCAGCCAGGTTGCCCTGCAACAGCCAGGTTGCTTTGCAGCAGGTTGCTTGCAACAGCCAGATTGCTTTGCAGCCAGGTTGCTTTGCAACAGCAGATTGCTTTGCAGCCAGGTTGCCCTGTAGCCAGGTTGCTTTGCAGCCAGGTTGCTTTGCAACAGCTAGGTTGCTTTGCAACAGCCAGGTTGCTTTGCAGCCAGGTTGCTTTGCAACAGCTAGGTTGCCCTGTAGCCAGGTTGCTTTGCAGCCAGGTTGCTTTGCAACAGCCAGGTTGCTTTGCAGCCAGGTTGCTTTGCAACAGCCAGATTGCTTTGCAGCCAGGTTGCCCTGTAGCCAGGTTGCTTTGCAGCCAGGTTGCTTTGCAACAGCTAGGTTGCTTTGCAACAGCCAGGTTGCTTTGCAGCCAGGTTGCTTTGCAACAGCTAGGTTGCTTTGCAACAGCCAGGTTGCTTTGCAGCCAGTTGCTTTGCAACAGCCAGGTTGCTTTGCAACAGCCAGGTTACTTTGCAACAGCCAGGTTGCTTTGCAACAGCTAGTTTGCTTTGCAGCCAGGTTGCTTTGCAACAGCCAGGTTGCTTTGCAACAGCCAGGTTGCTTTGCAACAGCCAGGTTGCCCTGTAGCCAGGTTCTTTGCAACAGCCAGGTTGCTTTGCAACAGCTAGGTGCCTGTAGCCAGGTTGCTTTGCAGCCAGGTTGCTTTGCAACAGCTAGGTTGCTTTGCACAGCCAGGTTGCTTTGCAGCCAGGTTGCTTTGCAACAGCTAGGTTGCCCTGTAGCCAGGTTGCTTTGCAGCCAGGTTGCTTTGCAACAGCCAGGTTGCTTTGCAACAGCCAGATTGCTTTGCAGCAGGTTGCCCTGTAGCCAGGTTGCTTTGCAGCCAGGTTGCTTTGCAAAAGCTAGGTTGCTTTGCAACAGCCAGGTTGCTTTGCAGCCAGGTTGCTTTGCAACAGCTAGGTTGCTTTGCAACAGACAGGTTGCTTTGCAGCCAGGTTGCTTTGCAACAGCAGGTTGCTTTGCAACAGCCAGGTTACTTTGCAACAGCCAGGTTGCTTTGCAACAGCCAGGTTGCTTTGCAGCCAGGTTGCTTTGCAGCCAGGTTGCTTTGCACAGCCAGGTTGCCCTGTAGCCAGGTTGCTTTGCAGCCAGGTTGCTTTGCAACAGCCAGGTTGCTTTGCAACAGCCAGGTTGCTTTGCAGCCTGGATGCCCTGGTTGCAGGTTGACTGCAAGTGTGATTATTTTTCTGGTTTGTAACTGAAGATATTCTTGCTTTTGTTTCTCAGTTGGTTTTTATATCATTTCTTATGTCTCTTTGTTTTATAAGAAAACAATTAAAAGCAAAATTTCCGACGGTTTGTGGTTTTTGTTCAGAAACACGCCCAACTCGGCTAACTAGCTCACTAGCATCACCATGAGGACGGGTGTGATTTAAGGCCGGCAGCTTCCAGAGAGTGACACCTGCTGGCCGGAAGTGGAAACAACAGGAAGCGTTTCTGCTGCACCATCTCCAAACAGATGATGTTTATAACTAGAAAATTCCTGAGAAATTTAACCGGGGCCTGCCAAAGTGTGCCCGTCGTTTGGACCCAGCGTTCTGATGCTAAACATTAGCATCCATGCTAAAGAAAGCGCAATGTCATCAATACAATGTGGAGAGTCACAAGCATGACTTACTGCATTCAGTATACTAAATATGGTAATAAGTAAGGGAAATAGCTAATAACCTCATGCAAGGTAAAAGGTTAATGCTAATGCTCTGCCTTTGCTGTGCAAGACAGTGCCCTAACTTGAGAGGAAAGATAATGCAAGCTAATATCATTGCAGCGCCTGTGGCGCTGCATTAGCCACGGGCCGAATCTTAAGGCTTTTATTTGAAATGTTCAGAATGTTTAATTTTAAATGGTCAATGTAATCCCATGTATAACAGTGATTTGGTTAAATCAGACATATAATGGTCAAAAGAGCACTTATTTAATCTAAAAATTCTCAAGGCTTTTATTTGAAATGTTTTTTAAAGTTAATTTAAAATTTCCACACTAATTTCCATGTGTAACAATGGTTGGTTAAAAATAGTTATAAAAGGCCCAAAACACAAGCAGTTCTAAAGTCCAGCTTTTTCTCTGAGTTCTGCCATAGTTAGAACTACAGTGATGCGTTTTTGTAGTCCTAATCAGCTGGCCCCTTTGTGTTCCGTTGCCATGGTAATGGATCCTCTGCCAGCTGTGAGTCAGACAGGGGGAGACTTAATTCTATCAGTTTGAGGCAGCCATGTTCCCTAAAATAGGCATGAGCCAGAAAGGAATCTTAAGGCTTTTATTTTGAAATTTTCATTTAGATTAATTTTAAATGGCCAATCTCATCCCATGTTTAACACTGATTGGGTTAAATCAGTTATATAGTGGTCAAAAGAGCAATTACTTGATGGAAAAATTTTCAAGGCTTTTATTTTGAAATTTACATTAAGCTTAATTTTAATGGTAACACTAATCCCATGTGTAACTATGGAGTTTTGAAATCAGTTCTAAAATTCCCAAAAACCAAGTACTTGTCATGGCCAGCTGATTACTCATCAGTAGTAACTGACAGTTCTGCCATGTTGTAGTTTTTATATTCACCTATGACCTCTTCTGTAGGCACTGAGTGTTCCGCCATGTTGTAGTTCTAACCTTCAGGAATTGTAGTTCTAAAGAGGAGGTCAACTGTCATGTCAGTGTGACACACAAGGAGAGACTTAATTATAAATGCTTGAAGAAGTTAGTTTTTCTGACAGGCCTGAGAGAAATATTCAAGGTTTTATTTTGAAATTTTTCATTCAGCTTAATTTAAAATTTCCACACAAATACTGTCTGTAACAATGGTTGGTTAAAATCAGTGATAAAAAGCTCAAACACAATGTAATTCTAAAGGCCAGCTCATTCCTCCTCAGCAGTAACTGACAGTTCCACCATGTTGTAGTTCTGACAATCAGCTCTGACCTCTTTTGTAGGCACTGAGTGTTCCGCCATGTTGTAGTTCTAACCTTCAGGAATTGTAGTTCTAAAGAGGTCAACTGTCATGTGTGTGAGGCAGAGACAGATTTCTATCTTTGTGAGACAGCTCAGTCAGTTATAATGGAAAAAGCAGCCCGAACAACTCCTTGCCGTTCGGAAACCGGGATACGTATCAGAAAACCGTTTGAAGCATATGAGAGAGCTATTTTTTGTCTCCGATAGTCCTGCAAATCAAATCTGTAGCTCATTCACAGTATTACAGTGACGAGAGAAAAATGGTGTGCGCTGAGGTCTGAAATTTTCCATAAAAGTATGAAAATAATGGTGGAGAGCGTCAGTTAGGCTGGAACTTGATTTTGCTCTAAAGCACCTTGACAGAAAACCGTAAGGCCTAGAAAAATTTCGAAAACATTTTACCGGAGCAGACATTCGTATCGATGTCATGTCCGAGTTTCATACCGATTGCACGATATTTGTGGGCGTAGCGGCGATTTCAAAATTTATTTGGGGTCAGAAATCCACTTCATTTTTCACTCTAGCGGAGCGGCAGTTGGTGGCAGTTATGCTCTGCGTTTCGGCAGTTGGAAATTTTGCTCGTTTTTCGCTTTTTACGTCGCCGTCGTAACGCCGATTCCCCATAAAAGTAATAGCTCCAATGCCGGGAACGAGCCGCACGTTTTGATACCACTTTTGTGGGTGGTCTCGCAGCGGTGCGAGCCGCATTAACGGTAGCGGAAGAAGAAGCTATAATAACTAGAAAATTCCTGAAGAAATTTAACCGCGGCCTGCCAAAGTGTGCCCGTCGGTTTGGACCCAGCGTTCTGATGCTAAACATTAGCATCCATGCTAAGCTTTGCTAAAATGACAAAGTATCATGTGGAGAATCACAAGAATGTTCACTAACATGAACTTGCACCATTCAGTATGTTAAATTAAGTGTATAAGCTAAAATTAGCAAAAATGCTAATGTTAGAATGAATACTGTCAGTAGCATGTGGACAATCACGAGCATGTTCTCTGTAATTTACTTACTCCATTCACCATACCAAATATCGCTAATAAGTCAGAAATAGCTAATACCTCATTTAAGGTAAAAGGCTAATGCTAATGCTCTGCCTTGCTGCGCAGCAGAGCCCTAACCTGACTAAAAAAGATCAAGCAAGCTAATATCATTGCAGCGCCTGCGGCGCTGCATTAGCCACAAACGAATCTTAAGGCTTTTATTTTGAAATTTTCATTGAGATTAATTTTAAATGGCCAATTTCATTCCATGTTTAACACTGATTGGTTTAAATCAGTTATATAGTGGTCAAAAGAGCAATTACTTGATGAAAAAATTGTGAAGGCTTTATTTTGAAATTTACATTAAGCTTAATTTTAATGGTAACAGTAATCCCATGTGTAACTATGGAGTTTTGAAATCAGTTCTAAAATTCCCAAAAAACAAGCTTCATTTTAAATGTCCAAAATAATCCAAAGTTTAACAGTGGTTCTGTTAAAAAGTCACATAATGCCCAAGAGAGCAATTACGTGATATAAAAGAATCTCAGGGCTTTTATTTTGAAATTTTCATTAAGCTTAATTTAAAATGTCCACACACATACTGTGTGTAACAATGGTTGGTTAAAATCAGTGATAAAAAGCCCAAACACAATGTAATTCTAAAGGCCAGCTCATTCCTCCTCAGTAGTAACTGACAGTTCCACCATGTTGTAGTTCTGACAATCAGCTCTGACCTCTTTTGTAGGCACTGAGTGTTCCGCCATGTTGTAGTTCTAACCTTCAGGAATTGTAGTTCTAAAGAGGTCAACTGTCATGTGTGTGAGGCAGAGACAGATTTCTATCTTTGTGAGACAGCTCAGTCAGTTATAATGGAAAAAGCAGCCCGAACAACTCCTTGCCGTTCGGAAACCGTAATACGTATCAGAAAACCGTTTGAAGCGTATGAGAGAGCTATTTTTTGTCTCCGATAGTCCTGCAAATCATATCTGTAGCTCATTCATAGTAATTACAGCGATGAGATAAAAATGGTGTGTGCTGAGGTCTGAAATTTTCCATCAAAGTATGAAAATATATGGTGGAGAGCGTCAGTTAGGCTGGAACTTGATTTTGCTCTAAAGCACCTTGACAGAAAACCGTAAGCCCTAGAAAAATTTTGAAAACATTTTACCGGAGCAGACATTCGTATCGATGTCATGTCCGAGTTTGATACCGATAGCACGATATTTGTGGGCGTGGCGGCGATTTCAAAATTTATTTGGGGTCAGAAATCCACTTCATTTTTCACTCTAGCGGAGCGGCAGTTGGTGGCAGTTATGCTCTGCGTTTCAGCAGTTGGAAATTTCGCTCGTTTTTCGCTTTTTATGTCGCCGTCGTAACGCCGATTCCCCATAAAAGTAATAGCTCCAATGCCGGGAACGAGCCGCACGTTTTGATACCACTTTTGTGGGTGGTCGCGCAGCGGTGCGAGCCGCATTAACGGTAGCGGAAGAAGAAGTTATAACTAGAAAATTCCTGAAGAAATTTAACCGGGGCCTGCCAAAGTGTGCCCGTCGATTTGGACCCAGCGTTCTGATGCTAAACATTAGCATCCATGCTAAAGAAAGCTGCAATGTCATCAATAGCACGTGGAGATTCACAAGCATGACTTACTGCATTCAGGAAACTAAATATGGGTAATAAGTAAGGAAAATAGCTAATACCTCATGCAAGGTAAAAGGCTAATGCTAATGCTCTGCCTTAGCCCTAACCTGAGTGGAAAAGATCATGCAGGATAATCTTATTGCACTGCCTATGGCAGTGCACTGGTGGGGAACAGAGAAATGCTAATGTTTGTGCTAATGCTAATGCACTGTCTTGCTGCGCAAGACAGTGCCCTAACTTGAGACGAAAAGATAATGCAAGCTAATATCATTGCAGCGCCTGCGGCGCTGCATTAGCCACGGCCGAATCTTAAGGCTTTTATTTTAAAATGTTCAGAATGTTTAATTTTAAATGGTCAATGTAATCCCATGTATAACAGTGATTTGGTTAAATCAGACATATAATGGTCAAAAGAGCACTTATTTAATCTAAAAATTCTCAAGGCTTTTATTTTGAAATTTTTTAAAGCTTAATTTAAAATTTCCACTAATTCCATGTGTAACAATGGTTGGTTAAAAATAGTTATAAAAGGCCCAAAACACAAGCAGTTCTAAAGTCCAGCTTTTTTCTCTGAGTTCTGCCATAGTTAGAACTACAGTGATGCGTTTTTGTAGTCCTAATCAGCTGGCCCCTTTGTGTTCCGTTGCCATGGTAATGGATCCTCTGCCAGCTGTGTCAGACAGGGGGACTTAATTCTATCAGTTTGAGGCAGCCATT